ATAGGTGTTTGTAGGTGTGCTTGTCTGAATACTTGACTGTATTATTTCGCGCTGCTAGACACACACTCTGCTCCCCTAGGGTAGCACCACCTTTTATTTTATCCTCCTTTTATTAAAGTGAAAATTAAATAGGATAGATTTTGTGCTTTGGATTTATTGCATTTAGTAATAGTATTGTGGAAATCAGTATTTTGACATGTGCAAGCCGCACAGCTCGTTCGTGCCCAACCCCACCGCTGTAAGCTGGCTGTTTACCGGCGTCAGCGCCCTCATGGCAGTTCAATTCTGCCTTTGGTTTAGTTATCAGCTCACACGGCTTTATTCCCGTCGGGCTTTTCAACGTCAGCTTCGACATCATAGACTACTCCCGTGGGGAGAATTCAAGCGAATCGCGGCGGAGCTGCGGCAAGGCTCCTTAAATAGCGAGGGCAAGCTGTCTTCATCCGACGAAGCGTGCGTGATCTGCTTTGCGAAGCCCGTGAATAGACCGGTGGAGTTGCTGCCATGCGGGCACTCGTGTTTCTGTGCGCATTGCATTGTCGAACTGTGGAAGTACAGCCGCCAGAATGAAATTTTCGGTCAAGACGGCAGTGGTGGTTCTATTTTTCGGCATCACACCCCACTTGCTTGCCCCTTGTGCAGACAAGTGGCGTTGTTCGTTTGTCCGTACTCTATCAGGCGGGTGCCGTGTAGGGTCCCGAATTCGGCCTCCAACAACGGCTCAGACCCAACCAACGACGACTGGCATAAGAACATCAAAGAATCCCCGCAGTCGGTCGAGCAGATCGGTAAATCGGACGAAGACGATGTGCTTTTGGCGCTACGCTATAACAATGACTTCTTAGCTCAACATCACCAAGAATATGTGATTGACAGGGTTAATTGGTGGGAGAAGACGCTCTACTATTGTATTTGGTGGTTAAACCGAATTATTCACGCGAAACTTCTGCCTCTTTTTGTGGGTCTTCGTATTGTCCTGCTCCACATGACAGTAATTTTGTACTTCATTTTGCCCAGTGATCAACTGATACATATTACTGAGTTTTCGTACCCTGGTTCATCCTTGACTTCGTCTGATGGCAACACAAGTAGGTTACACACACCTAATATCCTGCAGAGAAATAATTTATTAGGGGTCCAAAACATTTCAAGCAATAAGACTATACACCCACAATTAAACCACAAGTTTATGAATATACTTGAATATCCTCTACTATGGCTTATCTATTATGCAGACGACATTTTATTCGTTTGTTCTTGCTGGATCTCCATTGGGCACATTTCAAATCGCCTCTTATTTTGGCATACCAACATCGCTTAAGATGTATAAGTGAACAGAAAAAAAAAACATTATATATGATAACACAGGCATTAATTCTATCGACAAGTGTAATCTAATATTCCTCAGTAACTTGTAGTGCGTGTGCGTGCATTGATGTGGTATTTGAACATCATTTCTTGCTTTATTGGTTTACTTTTATTGCATCTCGATTGATATATATTGTACTTTAAACCTTTTAGAAAGGGAAGAAAGTCACCTATTAAATGCTTTTGAAGTAATTTGTGATATAATATGTTTATCCATATAAAATTAGATTAGAATATATACCACTAGCATTTTTTTGCTCTACTATATACACTTTCTTTCTTAACACATAGTGATGCTATGTTACCTTCAACAAATTACATCACAACAAATGTCCAAACATCAGAAACAAAATCATTTCATATTTTTTTTATTGCCTCAATTCGTTCGGAATAATTTAGATATTGGTAGCAAATGTCAACTATATGAATCAGTGCTGTTAAACTCTAGGTAAAGCAAAAGATGAGTTTTCTCCCTTTTCTTACTCACTTTCCTTTTATTCCTAACACGCACGAGTCCGTCTAAACGCATGTACGTGCAATAAAGCTAATTCACTTCCTTCTTCCCTTCTATTGTTTTCTCTTTGGGAGAGAGTTTGGTGGATTCTTTTGGATTCCCCCTTATCGTCAAATCCCCCATACTAAACACCGTAGAAAACTATAAAGTACCTTTACAACGGGAAAAACTTGCGTTTACACAATAGTAGCGCCCACCTGTCTCTTGAGTGTGTCTTTTTGGGGATATTGTCAAGGGGGGGGGCAGGGAAGTAGATCAGGGCCTGTGCGTGAGTAGGCGATCCTCCTCCCCTGAATGATAAAAGGTAATGAAGGGATATGAAAAAGAAAGCGAAAGGGAAAATGAAAAGGAGGTGGACCCTGGCGGGATCTCCCCTCTTCATCGGCACGTCCTCAGCCTCGGGGGCGAGTCGGCCCCGGGCCTCTCGCGGGCGGCGGTTATTCAACACGCCGGGATGTTCTTCCTGTGGGAGCGGCTGTCCGGCCCCGGCCCGGCCTCCCGCACGCTGGACAACTTGGCGGGGTGGCTGAAAGGGGGGAGGACGGCGGCCCCCGCGGGATTTTTAAACCCGAAGCCTGCGGTGAAGTTCGCGGGGGAGGAAATACCAACCAACCCGCCAGACGACGAGGGGACGGGCTCTCAGGCCACAAGCCATGAAACCGCGGCGGTGGCGAATAGGACGCCGGAGCAGCCGGCATCCCCGCCACCCCGTGTGGGGGAAGGGGAATGCACGACGGCTGAACTCATCACTCTGGTGAATGAGGCCGAAAAAGTCGAACCCGCGATAATCAATGATACCACCCCCACCTCATCACCGCAGGGCGACGAGCGGAACTCCTCACAACAAACGATAAAACGCCCTCGTGCGTCGTCGGGAAAGGGTGGGAGCGCGCTGAAAGAGCCTCGTTTGGTCTATCT